TCAGAGAACTTGGTTTTAGGTTTGTTTTTTTTTTTCCCATCTGCTAACAAAATATTCCAGTTAGTTAACTACATTTATTTAACACTTAATTTAGAATGTACTAAGTGGAAATCATTAAATTAATTTACTTCTATAGCTTGAAGGTTCTTTTAAGAGTATCTACCCTAGTTCTCTCATTTCCCTGGTGAGGAATATCTACAGGAATGTTTTATAGAATTTTTCCCCAGAGAATCTTATCAGCAAATGGGACATAAGTCCATTTAAAATATATTTGGTATCTACATTCTTTGTTTTGTTAGGTCAGGATCACCTTTGTGATAACCAACACCACTGGCTGTCTATTATTTCAGGAAATTTGTTTGCCTGAATGACAACATTGACCACAATCATAAAGATGCCCAGACAGTGAAGGCCGTTCTCAGGGATTTCTATGAATCCATGTTCCCTATACCTTCCCAATTTGAACTGCCAAGAGAGTATCGAAACCGTTTTCTTCATATGCACGAGCTGCAAGAATGGTAAGTTCTCATGTTTCGTATAAGCATGCTTGTGCATGTGTGTACGTATGTGTGTGTGGGAGGCCTGTTTGCATACAAATATCTATATTTTAGAGTGATGAGTTTTTCAAATGGATTATTTGTTTTGTAATCTCCTTGTGAAAATTCAGTTACAATTTTTATTGATTTTAACACTAGGAAGACACCTGCATTTTAGGAATTTGAAAAAAAAATGTAGCTAGGTTCTTTCAGTTTAGTTGGAATTTCATTCATTTATTCCAACTTGTTGATCAATGTATAGGCGAAGGGGAACACCAGTATGAAAGGCTTGTTTAGAGCAAAATAAAGACACAAAAAATCAGTATAGACTAGAGGTTGATCGTGGGCTTTTGAGAGAATGGAATTTGCTCAGTCCTAAAAGGAGGATCTCAGAAGGTGGTGAGAAAGGAACAATGAGCAAAAGTTTGGAGATGACAGTGATTGGGACAGTTGGGGGCAGCCTGGCTCAGGTGGAGTGTTCAGAATACAGAAACAGCAATACACACCTCAATCCCTTCTCCTCCATTCTCCTCTCGGGATCTTGGGCATGCATGCACATGCGCCTGGCGTGAGTTTTGAGCCACCAGGTCCGGGACACGAACCGTGGTCGACTACGTGGGAGTCCAGCGACATAGCCATTACGCCAACTGCTGGTTCCCTGTTGCGCTTGTTTTTATAATGGGAAATTTAATCATTCATCAGCCAGTCACTCTTCATCCCCTTCACCCTCAGCCCCTGGTAACTGTTGGGTCATCAGAAAAGTCACAGTGTATTTTTGCATTTTGGATCATAGGGAAAGTCATGACATATTTTTCTTTGCAAAAATGCATCGTGACTTTTCTGACCATCCAGTAGAAAAATACATCATAATTTTTCTGACGACCCAATATTAACCTGTTTTATTTCTCTATGGATTTGCCTATTCTGAAATCTTTTTTAATAAAAGAAATTATGCAGTATACTAACAACCTTGTGCAACTGGATTCTTTGACTTAGGGGGATAATATTCATGGTGTTGGAGTTAGCTGGGGACAATATAATGAATTCAGCTTTAAAGTAGAGTTATAGGAGTGGGAAGGAAAACGGCACTTCAGCTCAGGAATCAGGGAGCCCAGAGAACCTGGCATATTCAGGTTGACCTGGAAACTGAACTCAGGCCTCCCATGCTACTTCCGGCTTCCCAAGCCGTGATGTTACCTGCACACCACTGTGGCTGGGCTGCCTTTGCTTTTGGAAATGCATATTTCTGTATTGGGTAGTTCATTTCCCCGGGCCTGGCAGACGACAGCTTTATTCATCATCTTCTCTGCCATCAGAGTAGCTGCCCTCTTTCTTGAGTACCTGCTCTATGCCAGAGACAGTTCTGGGCAATGGTATGTTTACTCTATAATAAAAGATACTGTGTTGTCATTGAACAAGGTAAAAGAAGTTCAATAATGCACCGAAGCTGAAGTAGCTGGTAAGCTGCAGATCTAGCCTGACTCCCAACTCTCTCCACACATTCTACAATATTACAAAGCTGCTTTATAAGTTTTTGTCATCTTTTATTCTCCTTCCATTGTTGACATTCAATTATAAGAAATAACTTCATCTTTCTATTTAGAAAGTTGCTTTGACCCTTTGCTTTCCTCTCTATATCAAGAGTTAGGAATATAAAGACAAAAGATTGTGTAATACTGGACTCTGAGGTGCTCACAGTCTTTCCAGGCAACAAACACTTGGCAGTGGTTGTGGCATAGTATATGGAGTGAACAGTAGAATTCAGTGTTATGGTTGCATGGAGGAAAGAGCACTTGATTCTCTTAGGGAAAGGTGACACTTTGACTCAGTTCTGAATTATGAAATGACATTTCCAGGAAAGAACATTCGTAGAAGGAGGGGCGCATGCAAAGGCACAGAGGCGTAAAATAGTGCTGTGTCAGGAAAGATTGCAAAGGGCCTGTCTGAGCATGCAACTCTTCTTTAAATAATAGGACCCCCAGGAGAGATTTCTTTTTAGATGTTTGCCATGATAAGACTTCATGATTTGGAATGATAACTAATAGTATGTGGAGGATGGGCTGGTGAGGAAGATGTTTGGAGTAAGGGCAGGAGTGCCTGGGACTGGGGGCTGGGGGACGAGTAATTCTCATTTCAGTAGTCCTAGAAACAGTCAAGGCATGATCCAAGGATATAGTGCAGGAACCAAGAGAAAGCAGTTGACAGAACTAGGAGAGATTTAGAGGGGAAATCAGGAGACCTGGGCAGCTAAAACTCTTTGATGTGTTCAAGTCTGATAAATGAGACAATTGGCATGTATATGGCTGGTATCTGTATATTTTTATTCTCATAAATTAAGAGTGATTTTTGCAATAGGGCACATGTGCTCACCAGAGAGATAGAGACAGAAAGTGAGAAATCACCCCCTGCGGGGATAGGCACACCT